TAACTTTGCCTTCTTGCGTTTCTTAATTGATTTCTTGGGAGATTCACCATCGGATCGTCCAACGGCGTCGGAAAGGTCCTCAAGCTCGTCCCCACTTTCTCCATCAATAACCAAAAGACCTTCGCCTTCTGACGTTGAGTAACCATCATCAAGAGCTGCCATGATCTTTTCCACGCAGGATGATCTTAACTTTCTCTTCTCTTGATCGACACTCACATAAGGAATGTAGTCTTTGACAGTCATTTCGATGATGTTGCCATTGGGATCTAACATGAAAGGAGTTCTCCCAGTCGGCCATACGAACGAATAGCCAAGGTCAACGCACCGCTTGCCCATGGAGATCACGGAAGGCGTGTCTTCCAGAATGTGAGCTTCTGCTGGTTCGTTGAATGCCTCGAACTTGATACTCGATCGTTTGGTCGAACATGTTACTCCGTTTGCTGTATGGAAGTTAACGACTTTATCATCATATGTTGGGAGATCCATTCTACTTATTCGTGTGGATGAGATAAGATCATGACCACTTCCAGAATCCAATATGAATCTCTTATCTCTTTCTTCAACAGGAACAGTGATACACATTGTGTTGCCCCTTTTACCATATCGACCCTCGATATGCTGAACATAGTTCTCCACGAAGACCTCCCTGGATACCTCACCGTCCTCGATGTCGAATCTGATCAGAATGTCCAGACTGGGGCCGACGATGACTAGGACTTCATCAATGTCACTGTACTCACCCTTCTCATCGATCAGGATAGCCATTGCCTTCCCTCGGCTTGATGCTAGTCTGCATGAATAAGACCATTGCTCATCTTGCCTTATCTGATCGGTGGGCTTACCAACTTTACCATGACCTTTGGGGATGGTCTGGGATCTCCGGCTGCACTTCACGAAGTCCTTCTTCACATACGTTTGGACGCAAGTCTTGGATTCATCGAATCTGACCTTCTTCTTGACGACATTCGATGCAACCTTGTGGAATGTTCCTTCGTCATCACTCCATTCATGGACAAGTGCAGGAGTAGCCTTTGGGCTTGGTGCTTCAGTGTTCGGAGCAGTGTTGAAGAGATGAGGATCGTGACGTTTGTTGCATTTGTCTCCGTACCGACACTTGCCCTTGGCCCAGTGCCAGCATGGTTCATCAATCTTTTTGGTCTTGTTCGCTGGAGATTGACTTCTCGTAGTTCCTGGTTTTCGACCATTCCCTTTCGTGTTCTTGTTCGCATCAAACACCTTTTGGTCGTGACTGTATTCACAACCTTTGCCTTTTCTGCATGCTTTCTTGATAAAGTGGAAATGACATGGGATCTTCTTCTTGGATCTAGGACTGGCGCTTCGGCTGTTTGGTCGTCCATTTCCTTTCCCTTGACCTTTCCCTTTTCCTTTTGCATGCTGTTTCGGCTGAGGTGATGGTAGAACTGGAGCTGCGTCAGCCTTGGCCTTCGCCTTAGGTGCTGCCTTCTCCTTGGGAGTGGCTTTAGGCTTCGCTTTCGGATTGGCATCTGGCGCAGCAGCAGTTGGATTTGGTGCAGGAGCAGTGGGCTTGCCACCACCTGCAAACTCTCTTGCGTACTTCTCTCTAGCGGCCACATGCTTGTCTTCTCTGATTCTAGAGATGTGCCTTTCGATAACGTCCAACAGGTAGCGATAGCTTCGTCTTTGATCTCCTTCAATCCATGATTCGCACTGCTTAATGTCGAACATCATGAGACTCGAATTTCGAATCTTCTTGTATAGAGCGTCACGAAGCCAATCGTCAGGAGGTACATCATCCGGCATCATGTTTGATACCATCTCCATCCACTTCTCGTAGAACACTTCCAGGTTGGAGTCACCGAGATACTTCATCGATACGATGTGCTCCATGGTGAAGGCTGTCTCTCGTTGACCTGGTGTTCTGAAGTGTTCCAGAATCATAGCCAAAATTTCTCGTCCCATAACGTAGGTTCCTCTTCGACTATGACTCTGTGTTCTCAACCTCAGTTTGATTGCTACATGACGAGCAACATCACCGGCTTGCGCTATCACGTTCGACAATGCGATTGACAACTTGGCGTCGATTGACTGATATCGTTGCCCACCGCTGTCATTCAGCAGCTCAATGTCAGGATTTGGTCTTATAGCCGGCTGTAGCCATGCTTCCCACGCAGCTTTGTCTCCATCATTAGCGGCAAGAACAACACCCTTGATGAGATCTGATTGCCAAACTCCAAGGTTCTGTTGCTTCGGCCATGGGCTAACGTAGACTTTGTCAGCCTCCCGTCTCGACATTCTCGGTACTTCTTCTGCCGTGTATGCCGCTGTGGAGATATCATCTGCTGAATCGCGTTGTGATCCTCGAACTGAAGGCAAACCAGGAGGTTCTGGAGGTGGTCCTGGACCGTCGGGCCCGAAAGGGTCAGAAGGCCCATCAGGGTCAGGTGGACCGCCCCATCCGCTCGGAGGTTTGTAATAGTCCTTCTCAGTTCCATCGGCGATCTTGTTGTCAACTTCTTTCAGCAGATCGGTGATTCTTTTGTTTGATTGAGAAGGTTGCTGTTGAGAAGATCCAGCATGTCCGCGGTAAGATTGAGCAGCATTTGTCTCGTAGGTCAACTCCTTGTCGATCTGTGATACCCAAGATTTTAGGATAGCGTTCTCAGAGTTAGCCTCACTCACCTCATTCTCCAGTTTGTCGATGACCAGTCTTGATGCGAGATCATAGTTGGGGATACCTGCCGAATAGGGAAGTGTATCAGGGCTAACCCTGGACATAGATGTTTCAGAATCCTTGAGACTCTTTCTCAGTTCATCTAAGTGACGTTTCATGTCAATAATCTCAGAATTCTTGATACCAATCTGTTCATCCCTATCCTGAATTTCCCCCATGAACATACATGATCTCTCATATTGTTGAACACCACTAGCCAATTTCATTTTGCGCTCACTTTCTAGTTCAGATCTTAAAGTTCGGACTTCAGCATTGGAGAAGGACGACGCCCCTACATCCGCAACTTCAGTCAATCTCTCTTTTAACAATATGTTCTCCTGTAAACATTCATGAACTTCATGGTCAAGATCCTGAACCCTGATTTGAGCTATTTTGGCTTGGTTTCGTAGATCTTCAACAAGCATCTCATCAGGGCCACGACCGTCGGTCGTAGTGCCCTGAGTTAATGATCTTCGCAACTTCACGTTCTGCTTTTTGATCTCATCCTTCAACTCACAGTTCATCTCCTGCTCGTTGGCGTAGAGCTCTTCATAGTGTTCTGCCCTTGCGATCGAATTTGCACTAGCTTGTGATTCAAGCCTCAGGTGTGATATCGCTTCGGCCTCATGGTTCCTGTATGATGCAATTCTTCTGACAGTATCATGTTCAGTGTTTCGGTGCTTCAGATCACTTTCCAATTTGGCCTGATTTGCCTCGAAAACCTTCTTTCTAGATTCTCTAGTGATCTCTTCAATACTGCTTTCATACAATTCGGCCTGTTTACGAGATTGAACTAGAGCTTCACTCAATAGCTGATTCCGTTCAGACAATTCATGAACTGCAACTGATTGTTGTTGGCTAATCAATTCAAGTTGATTGCTTGAGAAGGATGCCATTTCGGATCGATTACGATATTCCATGATTGAGTTCTGGAAACCCATCTGCATTTCTTGACCTTCAGTGTACCATCTGTTGGCAATATCGGTAGTTAGTCTGATGAAGTTGTTGCAGTCTTGCCTCCGTATTACCCAATAGTCCTTGAAGGTGATGCACTTCATCCTTGTACTCTTCCTGGATCTCCATACCACGTTGATGAATCCGTCTTGCACCGTGTTCCATCAGGGCACCTCGGCGTTCAAGGTCTTGGATGCGTATTGTTGCACCTTCGTCTTCCTGAGATGCTACCATTAGTTCTGCTTGATACTCTGCAACCTCATTTGCGGAACATGACAATCTATGATTGAGTGCATTGACCTCATCAAACACATTCTGGTTGTGTTCCCGAAGATATTCAGTGAATCTGATCTCGATGTCATGAATCAGTTGGTCTCTTGATGCAGCATATGCTTCCATGTTGTTCAACTGATTACGTAGGGATTGACATTGTGTCCGTAGTTCTTCTATCATGGCAATAGGTTCACTAGCCACAGAAGTATCCGTTGATCTCCTCTTAACACGAGTGTCCCCGGTCCTCTCACCAATTCGGTCGGTTCCGGCCCTGGTGGATCTGTCCCTTGGGGTAGTTCGTCCTCGAGATGATCGATGCCCTTGACGGACAACATCACTTCGAGCACTGTTTCGAGAAGATCTTGGTGTACTTTGGGTGGATATTCTTCGTCTGTTCAATGTAACTTGCCATCCGGACTGTGTAGTTCGGGTAGAGCGTATCCCACCACTGTCTGCCGTGTCGCCAGGGGAAGATTGAGTGACCTCCTCGACCGGCATAGCAGTGTTCTCATTGAAGGTAAACTGCGTGTTGCGCGAGTCTCCGCTGCCGCCCTGCATCTTTGCGATGATGAGCTGATTGGTCCTTTGCGTCCACAATCTTAAACTCAGACGGCCCGGCTACCAGCACGCAGGTACTCCTCTTCCGACGGAAGAAGTGAGCCCTTACGGCTGATAACCTGTGAACAATTTGATCCTTGTTCCGGATGTTATCTCGATCAGGTAGTACCCTTGTTACCGGTAGCCGACGATTGCCATGCAGAGTCACGCGAAGCAGCCCTTTTCTCCATACGCTTGAGCCAATGTATGGCGGTAATTGTCAGATTGTAGATGATACATGTTACACATGCATAACTACCTCGTTCCCTTTAACAGTATATATGTATATATGTATATATGTGATTGTATGTGTATATTTAAAAATATATATATACACATAAGTGAGCTGAATTATATACGTGTCTTTAAACATATTGATTGAGGGTGTGTGTAAATAAAATAATATGTATATATATATATTTATATTATATCCAGCCATTTCTATGGCAAAAGTATACTTCGTCTTTTCTTGCACTACCCTTGATCAGTTTTTTCGAGTCGGCGCCTCCCACTCGGCGCGGCACTCCGCAATGTATTTGTTCGGCGGATGTCTGGCCCTCTGCTTGAGATGCTTCAACCTGTGGCACGCCACAAGTCCAGGATTCATGGATTCATGGGGCTCCCATCACGGCGTGGAACTGAATAAGTACCCTCTGGTTATGTCAACATAGCTATTGAACATGGCCATTTATAGTGGATTTACCCATTGAAAATGGTGATTTTCAATAGCTATGTTATGGTTCTTCACCAGTGGCCAATCGAGGAGATGATCCTGGCACCGGCACCTGTGAAATATCCCATTTTGAAGTGATAAATCATGAGCATGCTTGCCCGGTCGAGTGTGACCGACATTTTTTTGAAATAACCCTAATAAGCCTATCTTCGATGTTGAAGGCTTAAGATTGCTGAAATGGGCACCTTAAACACATGGGATTCATGCAATGTTGCAATGTTTGATTTGGTCGCAGCTCCCAAGATGAAAGGTCACCAGCAAGTTCCACCGGATTCTTCGGACAGGCGTGGCGGAGTTTAATCGGTCGTTCGGACTTTGTCACCGATGGGGTGATCACTGCGAACAAATCACTACACTCAGCGTGTGATTGGAGAAATATACGATAATATCTGCATATTTACATGATCTCCATACTTTACTCATTCATAGCGTAACTCGCCAAAAGAGCGACTCCGTGGGTCCATTTCACGGGAGGCATGATTTCACGAGGATTCAACCCCGACATCCAGAACCACTTTTGGAAGGCTGAATCGGTGAGCCGCGTCTTTTCTGGGGGGGTCATTATCTTTCGAGGATTTTTCAGACACGTCACTCAGAAGTGGGAGTTTTTACCGCCACGTTAAGTGACCAGAAGGAAAAATCATGTGAACGTCACCGAGTTTATCGAAAGGACAAAAATTCTGTCATGGGGCTGATGGATTTCGTCCAGTTGTTTCTGTGGAAATCCCCCGATTTTTGTCACGGAGATCCGGTGCAATCCTGCATAAAATGCTGATTCATCGCCACGAATTTGCAGGTCAACTCCGTAATTCTTAAGCTTGGTGAAATCCTCATTTCCGCTGGTGGATTGCCAATGTTGTTGAAAACAACATAGTCTCTGGTGGTTTCAACCTACCCCTCTGAAAAATGATGGAGTTCGTCAGTTGGGATTATGAAATTCCCAATAATCCCAATATATGGATATATATAGATTATTCCTATGGTTTTTCTATGGTTTTCCTATGGAACCAATAATCCAAATGTTCCATTCATGTTCCAAACCACCAAGCAGTTCTTGTTGCTTAAAACCCCAAGTTCTGATGCTCGGGGTGCTTTCGGTCCCAAAAATATGCTCCTCATCTTGGATCATCTTTGAAAAAGCCAAGCAGTGATGAAACTGTTTCCCCTCTGGTAATGTGACCATGGAAAACAGCCATTGAAATAATAGGATATAATAGCTACATCATCGAACTATCCATGGATCTAAATGGGCCATCGCTAGCAGTGTTTATTACAGCACGGTAAACAATGAGCCATAGAGATGGGCCATCTATTGCCATTATAAATGGATCTAAATGGGCCAGCTATAGATAGTGGGCCATCTATAACAGAATGTTTCAATTGTGTGTTTGTTTCTCCGCATCTTTGTCCCAGCAACGCATTGTACACCGACATCTCTGCCGCCATCATCGGAATCCTTGGTCTGACAAGGTCGTTGCAGTGCTTTCGGCTGTCAATGGGGATCTTTAGGGTTTAAGGTCACTTTAGGTGTTCAGGAATCGTTCGGGATATGTCTTTTTGATTTGGCTAAATCTGAAAAATCAGGTGTCTCTTCTCTTGAAACCATATAATTATATATATATCATATGGCAGGAACATAAGCATGTATCCTGTAGCCACCTTGAGCCCCATCCCTCTTTCCATCTCCTCCAAAACCCCTACCTCCCAAAACATGCATGGCTTTAGAAACCAGGCGTCAGGTTGAAGGATGAGAACGTAGGCAGCATGTGAGTGGCGCTGGGAACGTAGGCGGGCTTCTCCGGACTGCTTTTCAGCTTCGGCAGGATGGGCCGGATCACCTCAAAGTCCTCAAGCTGGGATGCGATGCGGGGAATAGAGATGCCAGATATTCATGTATGGATTGGTTTACCATGATTTATCTATCTTACGTGTATGTGCATGAATGTGAGTATACAAATATATGATATATACATACATACATATGCTACATATGCATCTCTATTTGTATACAGAGATATTTAGATGTTATAGCCATAGCCACAATATGCCATAATGTATGAGTATGTTCACAGTATGTCCTAGCTCTGCTGTCTACAGGTGTGTTCTCTGATCTCGTTTACCAGTCGGTGGAACTCAAAATATGCCGGGCAAGCACACCCCTCCAGCCCCTCCGGCCCCTCCAGCCCCTCGAGACAAGGTCTGCATCCTATAATTAGGCGCTGTTCTCACAGTGCTGCTCTCAACAGCCCCAGTAGAAGAGGAAAAACTGTGAAAATAAAGAGGAAAAATGACAATGGCTATGAGTCACGCAGTAGGTTGGAGCAACCCTGTCTAATGTGCTTTTTTAAAATTTCAAATCCAAGCCACAATTGACACCACCCCCCTGCAAACCCCACACCATGCTGGATGTCACTCCATTTTCTACACCCGAAAGGTGTTCGCTCGTGAAGCTAACACCACATAATCACTAAAAACTCTAACAGTTTGCTATGGAAATCACCATCTTCAATAGGTAGTTCATCGAACTAAATGGGCCATCTATATCATAGCTATATTAGTTTACTGGAGGGTAATCACAAAAACTACAACCCCCAAAAAAATAGACAAGGAATTTCCCACTGTCTTCGAATCGGATATTACATTGGTATAACCAACTTCTATCTTAACTGGTTGGTGCAATAACCATCTTGAAAAATATGAGTTCGTCAACGGGAAGGATGACATCCCATATATGACATGGAAAAAAAATGCTTGAAACCACCAACCAGTTAAAGTTGGGCTCTTTTCGACCCAAACATGGACCGTTTTGACCTATTCCATCACCTTCCCTAACATTTGCTTCCGAGGCACTGAAGGATAGTCCACGAACCATCGAAGCGCACGGGCCTGGGGCATAGGATCACGGCTCCGTGGGATGAAAAACATAGGATCACCATCAACAAATCATTACCATCCGTTGTGAAAAGATGCGAAATCTCTGGGAGATCGTCGCCAGATGGCGCCAGAACATGGGCATCCAACGCTAATTTTTTAGCAGCAAAACAAAGAGATGTTGACACTTTCTTTGACACTTGGTGGTGAAAACCCTGGTAGCCTAGGTACCCTACATTAGCTGATGAATGGATGTTTATTCCTCCAAATATGGTACTGTAATTGGTTTTGACCCATCCACACTCGCTTGAAACCACCGGTTTCAAACGCGCAAAAGTCACCAAACTCACCCTCCTCAAAACTCGACCCAAAGATTGGTCTGGTTGGGGTCATTGATCGGAAATTCGCCAAAACAAAATGGCTTCTCATCTTCATTTTCCATATTTTTCCATCATAAAATCCTGGAGCATTCAAAATCCCAATTGGTTAACCATTGCTTACCCTCTGGTAATTTAACGTAGCTATTGAAAATGGCCCATAGAAATAGTTGATTTACCTATTAAAAATGGTGATTTTCCATAGCAAACTGTTAGTTTACCATTGCTTAACCAGTGGTTCACCATTGGTTGTAGCCATTGGTTGCCTTGGCTTCCCCAAAATCTCCAAAAATCTCCATCGCATCGTCGCCCAGGAACCAGCTGAGCGAAAGGAGGCCCGGACGCGAAGCTGCCGAAGTTCTGGGCTTCCACAAACATCCCTGTGGCTCCGAGCTGGGGTAGCTTGATCCGCTAGACATTCAGACAGTTTGCGAACTGGAAAACCACCATGCTTTTTTTTAAGGTAAATCAACTATTTCGACTGGGCCATGTTCAATAGCTATGTTAGTCATTACCAGAGGGTAAATGTTACAAGACTAACCAGGTGTTCAAGTGCGGGAAAGAACATCTTCACTCATTTCCTTGTAGTCTGGACTATGGAGTGTGAGCAAGCCAAGCGGAAAATACAAGACAAGGACTCCAAGGATACCATCTTCAAAAGGATTGAAATATCAGCCCCTTGCAACATCTTGGTATGATTTAACAGTATACATTCACCGCAACAAAATGGGGCTAAATCTGCCAACAAATAGCCCTTTCATGGGTCGAATCCACATCGCTGTGATCCCTTTCCCGTTGTGGAGCTGTTCATTTGGGGTTTCACAGCTGGATTGTTCCTATTCATTTGGCTATGGATCAAAGTTGGGTGAATTGTAGCACCAAGAAAACAGAAAAGTAAAATCCAAGTATGTAAATTAGTGATACATGACATGTCACATCTATTTAGGGCAGTACCATTTCCATCCCTTCAAAATAAAAAGCCCGCTAGAAACCATGCTTTGGTAGGGGATGAAATCACATATCTGGAACCCTACAATGGAGCTGTTTAATACTAGGGGAATGGGATTAGTAGCTTCCGGCACCCATCTACTTCTGGCTCCCATGAAGTGTCAATATCCATGGGGCGAAAAAAACAGAAGATACCCTCTGGTAAACGTTTACATAACTATGGAAAATCACCATTTTGTATGGGTAAATCCACTATAAATGGCCATTGTCAACAGCTTTTTGTATCTTTACCAGAAGATACTCAGCCCGTCTGCCCAAAAAAGCTCCCGTCGGCCCTTGGTCCGCCCAGTCGCCGTTACAGCACACAGCCCGCAGGGGATCACCGTTCACCCAAAGGCCGACCAGCTCCTGAAATCTAGCCACGTTTAAAAAAAAAACATTGCATGGTCCCAATGATGTGGAAATTCCCTACATCCACCATAGTTTCTAGTGGGTGTTGAAGTGTTGAATATTGTTGAATATTATTGATGATTATTGATGGTTATAGCATCTTTGGGACTAATCTATACTGACCTCAACAAGAAACCTCCGCGTTTTGCCACGGCCAGAAGCAACGAGGCGTGGAAAACGCAGTTACTTGGGACATAAGCCGCTTACCAACCAGCTCGATCCAATGATCAAATATAGAGGTCCTCATATTATGATTGGTGGAATATTGGTGGTATTTCACTGCATCATCATTGGAGAGATCATGATCTTTTTCAACCCAAATGATTGGTGACTGTCTACTCAGAGCATTGGGTACTAAATAAAAAATAACCCAGGGCATGTCCCGATAAGTCCTGTGTTGATCTGGTTGAATTCCGCATCCACAACCAAATCCAAGACTATCCAAATCCATCGATCACAATAAGAAGTTGCATGGTGTGTCAAACCCAATCAGGAAAAATGATATGAAATAAAATATAAAGTGGTTTTGACTAATTATCATTAGTTATCATAACCCAATGATAATAACTTGCTTCTGTAAATCATGTATGGTAATTCATGGTAAATACCAATGCTTGGGACATATAGAACCCAACTTACCATGATAAATCCAATAATTATATAAGTTGGTTTATCATTGGGTTTACCATGGATTCTCCATCTCCATCCGCCTTTGTTCTTTTTTGCCAGAAGTGCTAGATGTCTTGAGTCTAGATGGATATGATGTTGGATACCCTCTGGTAAACGTTTACATAACCATGGAAAATCACAATTTTTAATGGGAAAACTCACTATTTCTATGGCCATGTTCAATAGCTATGTGAATGTTTACCAGAGGATAACTAGGATGTTCATGAAGGATATATCTATAGCTAGATGATGGATGAGATTATCGACCAAGTTGTAACTGGTGGGTCAATTCCTGCAACACTAGTGAATGATGAAGAAACCAAGAGACTTGGGGCAGCCACAACAGTTGCACAACAATGTGGGGAAATTTGTTTCAAAATGGAGATGCACCAGGAACTAGAATGGAAACCTCAACTCACTGCGGCGCTCCTTCAGGCCAAGCATTTTGTCAATCTGCGGATCTGGGATCACACCCACCTCGCAACACCCAGGGTAACACCCCAAAAAACGCCGTCCAGGCATACAAGGTGAGCAAGGTTGACTAGGGTTTATGAGGAATGCAACTACCAGGGGGCCTCACCTTGTAGCCTCTGGACATGGGAAAAATCAACTACCGAGACCCAGGATTTGTGGTGGAGATCCCTTCCGGTGCAGTAGCTGCAGCTCTCAGGTCCTAACCGCCTTCAAGATCACTTGGCACTTGATCTTCTTGCCCTTCTTGGTCTGTGCACCTCAGTTGTTGATGTTTTTGGCTCATGGTGTGGTGGCCCAGTTTCAAATCGCCTTTCGGCAGTTTCTTGTTCAGTTTCAGGCTTCGTTTGAAACGTGCAACGTCCATGTCGCAATGGTCCTTTCACATTGATCTGGACAATCTACTGTACAACAAATATCAAGAAATCACCAATCCGCAATCTTCGTCCTTTTTTTCAGCACCCTTAAAAGGAGTCTTTAAGAAAGTGGTCCCTTTCAGAAAGCCCAACACGTCAAAACGCCGAGCATCAGCCGTTGGTCAAGCGCTTAATTTCATCGACCATCACTTCCATCAGGCCATAGTATCCCGCCAAGAAATAGACATCGGTGACCTCTGGTCAGTGGCAGTGCGATGTTTCAGGGCTTTTTTGGAAGCTAAAACTGCCTTGGAATGGTCTTTTTCTAAAATGAGTGGCATCCTACATGCATGTCTTCTCTAAAATCGATTTCATGAGGCGAATACAGCTCAATATAAATAAGATAGCTTGACATCGAAATGATATCCATGTTCAAGAGTACAGTACATACATAAAATCATATTCCAAACGCTGCAGAATGGAGGTGCGTTTTTGGATCGGCGGATCATCATCCCAGTTGGACCGGACTTGAAAGTCACCCCTAGTTGGGGATGGTGCCCATGGATGCCCTTGGCAGGTTTACCTATCAAAAAATCGATCCAATGTTGGTACCGACTCCGGTACCAATTTCCTCTATGTTCGGGTCTTCTTGGAGGTTGGTTGGCTGCGCCAATGAATATCTCCAAGCGGCCCCGAAGGCAGTTTTCTGGGAGATATGAGCGAAAGTTCGCTTCCTGAAATGGTTTAAGCCGAAGCCCACAGGCGACAAAGACATGTCATGACATGTCATGGCGGGCCTGGGTGGATTGGAGCTTCAAAAATGGGGAGAAATTGGGTTTGAACCAACAGATATGGGATTTACTGTAACCAATGGATCATGATGACAAAATGACAATGGATATTTGGTGTGTCCAAACATAGAGGAGCCCCAATTTGCGGCAATGATCATACGGAAAATGATGAAAAACATGTTGAAGTAATCTATGACGGTACTTCACTCAACATTTCCAATCGAAAATCGATGTGGAAAAATACTTTCCAAGGGTGCCAGTGCAAGTGGCCTTTTGGTTTCAAGGGAGACTGAAGACATTCCGAACTGAAGGGTCAAATTTGATATTGTCCGTGGCCCGCGTAAAATACCAAAGGTTTAGCAGAATTGGTGTTTTTCACATTACTTTACTATACCTACGTATGTAGAATCATATGTTTTGTATGTTTTGTATTTTTGCTTGTTTGTATGTATTTATGTATGTATGTATGTATGCATGCATGTATGTATGTATGTATGTGTGTGTATGTGTGTGTATGTGTATGTGTATGTGTATGCATATGTATCTGAAATGTCTATATATATATGTATGTATGTATGTATGTATGCATGTATGTATGTATGTATGTATACATACATACATACATACGTACATACATACATACATACATACATACATTACCATTACATTACCATTACATTACCATTACATTACCATTACATTACCATTACATTACCATTACATTACCATTACATTACCATTACATTACCATTACATTACCATTACATTACCATTACATTACCATTACATTACCATTGCATTACCATTACATTACCATTACATTACCATGACATTACCATTACATTACCATTACATTACCCTTACATACCATTACATACCATTGCATAACATTACATACCATTACATACCATTACATTACATTATATTACATACCATACCATACCATTACATTACATTACACCACATCACATCACATTACATTACATTACATACATTACATACATTACATACATTACATACATTACATACATACATACATACAATACATTACATTACATTACACTACATTACAGTACACTACATTACATTACATACATACATACATGTATCCATGTATCAAAGTATCCATGTATCCATGCATACATACATCACATACCCTTACATACCATTACATACCATTACATACCATTACATACCATTACATTACATTACATTACATCACATTACATCACATCACATCTCATTACATACATACATACATTACATACATTACTTACATACATTACATTACATTACACTACACTACATTACAGTACACTGCGCTACATTACATTACATTACATTGCATTACATTACATTACATACATACGTACATACATACATACATGCATCCATCTATCCATGTATCCATGCATGCATGCATGCATGCATGCATACATACATTACATACATTACATAGCATTGCATACCATTACATATCATTACATACCATTACATTCCCTTACTTACATACCATTACATACCCTTACATACCATTACATACCCTTACATACCATTACATACCATTACATACCCTTACATACCATTACATACCCCTACATACCATTACATACCATTACATACCATTACATTACATTACATTACATTACATTACATTACATTACATTACATCCATACATACACATCTACATCTACATAAAATATATAATATATATATATACATATATATACATATACATATACACATATATATATATATATACATATATATATATATACATATATATATGTGTATATATGTACATATGTATATATACATATGTATATATACATATACATATACATATACATATATATATACATATGTATATATATATATGTGTACATACAGCGGCAGTTCATGATTGCCGTTCCTTTTTTGTTGACCGCATTCCCCATTCATGCTTTTGTGTCTCATAATTTTTCAAGTTCATGGCATCCTTCGGGGGTCCCGCATATCACCACTTCAGAGAAGTTTCTCATCAGTCTTCACCTGCAGAAATGGTCACAGAAAAAAATCAGTAGGAAAACGAAGCTTCTCTTTGTTTTCTTTTTTTTATTGGGTTCTGACTCAAATTCAAGGCTTGGTTCTGATATTTGGGGATGCGATACAAAAATCACAGATTCGGTATCAGTAAGTGACAAACTGGCAGAACAAGCAAAATAAATGAAAAACAATGAGGCTTTAACCGTCATTTCCGGTTAAGAAAAAATTCTGATCTCAGCATTTGTCACGTTTCCGCTGGGCCCACGACGCTATGGGCCGACCAGCAATCAAAGCCTGCATCGGAGTGGCACGGTCATCCATGGCATGGGGCCATGGCATGGGTTGATGTTCAAATCCCTGTGGATTGATGACGGCCCCAATGGTTAATAGTGGTTAATGATGGTTAATGATGGTTAATGATGGTTAATGATGGTTAATGATGGTTAATAGTGGTTAATAGTGGTTAAAGGATGGTGAAAGGGACATAGTTTTTTAACACTTGGTGTCATGGGATAATGATCCAACTACACTGGTTGGTGGTTGAAATAACCTACCCCTCTGAAAAATCATGGAGCGAGTTCGTCAGTTGGGATTATGAAATTCCCAACTGAATGGAAAGTCATAATCCATTCATGTTCCAAACCACCAACCAGCTATAAATTGATGATCCCCCAATTGCTTCATCTGATCCATCGGACGGCACCACTTCAGATTTTTGGATTCAAGCGTAGCGTGGCTGTGCCACATCAGCACATCTGAGACACCATGATTCACTGCCTCCCTTCGTACGCGATTCTCTGAAAATAAGGGATACTCATAAATAATATGTTCATATTTATTGAGAACATTGAATTCCATAGAAAGAACATAGAGTCTATATATGTTCATACTCATCATATTCCAATGGATACTGAAAATAGCGTACTCCCTTCATAGAGAAAATGATGAGAATCCATTGGAATTGGAGGTACCGGGTACTGCAGACAAACCCAGGGCTTGTCGCGCCTACGAGGTCATACATCTTCTGCATGCCCTGCGTGGCACCAAGCGTAGCGGCATATTGGAAGGCCGGATACGAAGTACAGAATTTGACAGTTCATTGTTCCAAATAATAAGCCATATCTATTCATCTTAATAAAAAAAAATGAGAGAAACTTCGTGCCACGAATCTGAAAGTACATCTCAGTACTTGGCTACGAAGCACAGAATCATCGAAGCCTCCAGTAGGATGGTGCCGGGCACCGGCATTTCCAAGTAACCCACCAGCCAGGACATCACTCGCATGCCACACAAGTTGCCTTGGCCCGGCTGGGGGGTATCAGACAGGTGTATTTATATAAATATTTATATTGATAGTTATATGTTCATTTATATGTATTTCTATATATATAGTCTATATATTGTATTTTTATTTGTAACTGTCCGGTTTTACAGCAGAGCCCCGCAGTCGCACCAGCAACCAAGCTCCCGCAAACATGCAGTGTTTCTTATACTTGAAGTTACTTGAAGTAAAAATCCCAATAACTTCGCTAGCATCTGTGAAATGGGAATATAAGCTGGGGTAATATAAGCTATTCAAACATATTAAACACTAATAACTTTCAATAGTTTTCCTATGGAGATAAACCTTATGGTTCATCTCCAGTGAGGTCCCAAGTCTTTCGCCAGCTGGGGGATGATCGTCGATCATCATTTCCCTTTTTTCAGATATAACCACTTGGGGATACGTATTGTGTATGTATGTAATGTAATGGTGATGTAGTGGTATGTAATGGTAATATGGTATGTATATACACCACACGTTCGGACAAACAAAAATATGGCCGCCTGTGATTGAAGTGGCACCATTTCCCCTATGAATTGCTGCCAAGCGACGCTTTCGGCACATCACCACCACTTTCTTGCAGCGATGCTCACACAGCGTACGCACCTGAATCATGAAGCTTCAGCAAATATGTCCATCCAGTTTGGGGAGACGATGTTGGCAGCATTCATCTTCAAATTAAACACACACATATATATATATATATATATATATGTGTGTGTATATATGTAATGTATATATATATATATGCTATATATCTATATATACATATATACATATCCTTCACCAAGACCTGGGACCGCTGCGACCAGGAGACGTTTTCAATGGTGAAGGCGCCGTGCCCGTAGAGGATACAGACTTTTCCTTCAGCTTCTCGATAATCCACCTGCATCAGTCAATGCATCATTTTGATGTCCAAAGCTATGGATCATGGATGATCTGGCCACGTTTTTTACATGATATCAGATCAGAAAACCATGAAACATGCTGGATTTGCTTTAGAAAGTCATGTTCGCCATCCGTAAGAAATTGTAATTTTGTGACCGATACCCTGGACAAAGCCATAATATGGCTAGTTCTGGCTAGCGAAAACCTGACCATGTTGGATGGAAGTCAATCACAGCCACAATATCTACTTGGTGGCACAACTGCCCCATTCTAATGCTTCCATCCTCGCATTTCTGTCAGTGCAAGGTCCGGATGTCGCCTTGGAAAAGGAAGCATAGGCGATGTAGCCCCCAAAGTCCTCCTCTCCAGGCCACTCAATCCTCAGTCATCCAGAATGAGTTCGAAGAAAGTCTCTGCAGAGGAAGCGACTTTAAAAGCATGGTTGGATGTTGGGGATGTTTAAGTGAGAAACCATCAAAACCTCGCAAAACCCATCACAACATGCATGTTCATATTACCCCTCGAAAACCCATCCAAAAAATGGGAAGTTCACCATCAAACTCTGGGTGTGTGTGTGTGTCATGGCTTGAACATTCCCAGCACTCAAATGTTTTTTTTTAGCAGCAAGCCCAAGAAAACCCAGAAAATTTCGAGTTTAGAAAAATCACTGAGGATCAATCCCCATTTGAGACAAGCTCATCAATCTGGGCAATCTTTCTTACCATCTGTGTATCTACCCCTGGCAGAGAATGCCCCTGCAAACATAGGGATTTCTGACCAACAAACATAGGCAGCATAGGAATTCTTGACCAAAAACAGGAAATTCACCAGCAAACCTGGCTGGTAAAGTAGAGGAAGATGAAACATGATTTGTCTGGTTTACATCCCACTAGTCTGTTTTATATCGCACAAATAAATACACACCGTATCCCCATGATGCTGGTTCCTATGGTCATAATGCGGGTGTGCAAAAAAAATAAGCTTCGGCGGTATCCCCAATAGCCGCAACGTTTTTTTTTTACAATTCTTTCTGAAGCGTCTGCCAAGCCAAGCGCTGGACACACCTCAGCTGGGGTTCCGTGAGTTAAATGGCCGCAAATCCTGTTGAACCTGACCCGGCTCTGCACCGAAGCCTCCCAGACCTTCTCCGGAACCTTCTCCGGAACCCTGTTGAACCTGACCTGCCTTTGCACCGAAGCCTCCCAGACCCTCCGGAACCTTCGGAACCTTCTCCGGAACCTCGTTGAGGTTGAACCTGACCCGGCTCCTGCACCAGTGCACACCGGAGCTATTCTGGGCTGAAGACCCCATTAGCTAACGCTGTTGGGGAAAAAAGTACGAGTATGAACCAACAGTTCCATGGCGAGGATTCACTCTGTCTCTGTTGGAAACTCATGCCCTGCTGTGAATTCCAGGACAATCTCTCGTGATCCAGTTCTGCTTCCTGAAATCCCAGCTCCTGAGGGCTTGAAATCCGCTATATTTTTCTCAATTGAGAATACTTCAGTCTAGAACATGTTGCCAGAACAACCGTCATGTTCGGATATTCATTCATCAAATATTGGGTTGGTTTTATCCCAGACCGCGACCATAACCCCATCCCATCTTTCAAACAAATAACCCCTCGCAAGCATCATTTCTGGTTGAAATACCCATGCTGGTCGGTGTTCACCTGTCCCAACACAACTATACATATATATATACCCTCTGGTAATTTAACATAGCTATTGAAAATGGCCATTTATAGTGGATTTTCCCATTGAAAATGGTGATTTTCCATAGCTATGTTAGTTTACCAGAGGGTAACCAATTGAAGAAATCCTCATGCCAGCCATCAAAATCGGCAAGATTCGTCTCGATATTTTACTTGATGAATCTCCCTTTTTTTCGGAGCAGTTAAAAACATAGTGACTAACCCAAGTCCAATGGATGATCATCTGCTTTTTCCCCATGAAAAAACACATAAAATTACCATTTAGAACTAATAAGTGCTATCTACTATTGCTATATATATATGGTATATATACATATTCCCATCTACTATTGAAAAATCATATCAAAAAATGCTATCCAGAATTGGATAGTCCCATGAAAATTGATGATAGTTTCTTAAAATTTTAGGGACCCTAAAGCAAATTCTGGTCCCATTCAAAAACACCATCTTTGGATAAGAACTTGGGGACTGAGTTTTATTGGAGGAGAGCTCCGGGTTTGCCGATTGTTTTCCTTTCAAAATCTCCTGGCGTTTTCCTAGATGCAGAAACCCCTCAGAAGATGCAGAAAAGGGTCAATTCATCCCCATTTTATATAGAATTCTATCTTATATGCCAACTTCCATCTTAGTTTGGGTTTGCTACAAAAATCCGATTTTTTCTGGGTATAGTATATCTATAAAAACCATGAAACTAATTTGTTTAATGGAAACGGGTTTCCCACATGATCTATTGTGTTTCCCAGCATGTTTTCCATATTTGTTCCATATGTTTCCCATGATGTTTCCATTGGGGTAGACACTGGAAAAAAACTTTTGACTACTGGAGAAAAAACAATTAAGGTTCACCCCTACTCTCCACACTGGAAAAAAAACTTAAGAATCTGCACTTTGAACCTTTTTGCAGCTGAAATCTCTTATTTGTACAATATTTGCAGGGTTTGGGCACTTCAACATGCAATTGCATGATATTAAAGCGTTTTGGCCGTGAATAATTCAATTTTGTGCAGCTGAAATCTCTTATGTGCACAATATGTGCAGGGTTTTGGAACTTAATTCTGCAATTTGCATAGTATTTAAAGCGGTTTAGCCTTGAATCCCTTGTTTGCACCGTGCTCGCAGCATCTTGGAGCCAGCATCTTTACTATGCAAGGGATTATCTGCAGCATTTCATGCTATTTGCAGCATATTGTCTAGACAGGGGACCAGAAGACCAGTGGACCAAAGGATCAGGGGAACCTTAAATTGGTTTTCCAGTAAATTTATGTGTGTTCAAGGAAATTTTGTTTTTTTTTTGCAGTATCATCCCTTTCCATTGCGTTTCCTTATGTGTCCCAGATTTGTTCCATAGATTTTTCAAGATGTTTCCCATGATGTTTCCATATGTTTCCCCGATTTTTTCCACATTTTTCCCCACATCTTTCCCATCTTTTCCCATGATCGGCCCAAGCCCAGGCCCAGCTGGTCCAAGGACAAGGTTCTCGCGGTGGTTGCACAAGTTGCCAGGCCAGGCTAACACGGCGGAGGCCACCAGGAGCTCCTTCGGGACACGAAAAGCACAGTTTTTTTTGAAACAAAAATGGTGATGGAACTGATGGAACCACAGAATTTCTGACGACTTCACCATCGAAAACTAAAGACAAAAAACCATCACTTGGCAGGACTTGGGAGTCGACCATGTTTTTTGTTCGTGCTGATGTTTGCGCCGGAGAAAGTTGGGAAGTTGGGGCATGGATTTAGCCAATAGAACTGGTTCATCACAGAAATTTGATTTGATGGCATCTGAGCAATAGAAATCGGAGTTTCACCGACAAATTGGAGGATTTACGGCATGGAAACCCCAAAAAAAAGGCAGGAAAGTGTTGTTTATCTTTGATTTTTCGAATCGGATTTCACTTTTCTGCCATCTTTGTGGGGCCAGGGTTGACAGTGAGCAAACCAAAATTGAAGATTCAGTGACAACATGTGGATTTAAGATTTAAGTTTTTCTTGCAACAGAAATCGGGGTTTACCAAGAACAATGGTAGTATTTGTCAGCAATTAAATGGCCCTATCTAAAAATGCCAGCAGTAATGGGGATCAGTTGTCAAAAAAATTGGTGCAAACCCAACAAAAAAACAATATATGAAACTTAATTAGCCCCAAGAGGGATGGAAATTGTGATCAGGAAAATGACTGTTTAAACCAAGTGGATGGTGGTTCCAAGTTTTCAAACAAATCCAAATGGAAGGTCACCAGGGTTTTACAGTGGGATTGTAGTGAAGGGATGAGACTTGGAATGGACGAAAGTCAAACACAGAATGCTCCTCCTGGAGAAGTTATGTGTATGTTATATACATATATATATATAAGTAACCCCCAAAAAGATAGAAAAGTGTGTCCAGGATGTTAAAGGTGATGTGTCCTCCAGAATTTCCAAGTGTTCAATTTGTCTGTCTTTTTGGGGTTTGTTATATAATTAAGCGCTCTTCCTTTTTCAGCCAAGCCGTGGATTCAATGATGCTAAGGCGGCCGTTTCAGGCCATCTCCAAATAAATTCTGCCATCCATCCCCAGCATCTCCTGCATCATGCCCCGTTACACCACGCAGCAGCAAGTGCCAAGTTTTTGTTGGCACACCATGCTTCCAAAAGTCCACAACGGCCTCCAGGACGCCAGCAAAACCCTGTGCAAGTTTGTCTAGTTTTGCTCGAACTGAAGGCTCCAACTTCACGAAGGTTGCGACTAGCACCTCCTGGAGATAAATCTCCATCACACGGGTCGACAGCCATCTGCCTCTTCTGCGCACCAGCTCTGAATTTTCGCTGGCATGGAGAAGCCATGAAGTATATCGCTCTGGTCAACTCTGGCAGCTTGATGGCGGGCATGGTTTCCCCTAGTTTTTGGCTCCATTATCTTCAATAAAACATAGGTGACTCCTGGAGCTGTATCTTGGGGAGGATAAGGTCACTCCGGAAGGATTGAAGCACCTCACCAATCCTCAAAATGACTACCCATGCCAGTGCCAGAACCGCAGCTATATATGCCCACCCCCAAGAAAGTGCTACAGTCAACATAGCCAGTAGAACTGACAGAGGTAGCGCTGGATGATGTTGGTGTGGCTCATCAACAAGCCAAGCAAAAGCGACGTCCCATGCTGAGGCCAACTGTCGTTTGACAATGGGCTTCAACATCGCCACTGCATTGATGGTCTCACTGTATTGGCCATACGCTTTTCCAGCTACATAAAGTTCTCTCTCATACTCAGCCAGCCAGTAGCTTATAGCTTCCGCATCCACCGGTTTTTGGCTAAGAAGTCCATGAAAAGAGACTGAATGTTCCTTCCAAAGCCAGGCCCGAAAACGTGAAATCAAAACCCTTCTGTAATCCCTTGTCTGACTTCCAATGACCCTATCCGCAGGCAAAAGAAACTTCCCTCGTTCTGCAGCTCTCTTCACTTCCTCGGCGCTCGAAGGCCCCATGGCTGCGCTAACCCCCGGAGCTACAAGCAACATTAAGATCATCCAGAAAATCCAAGGCCTCTCCCTTCTACGGGCTACTCTCTTCCTTCCTTCAACACACCAACTAGAGCCAACCCAATCCAGACCAAGAAGGCAGAGAGACAGAAAGCAGAAAGGGATAAGTCCAGCATAAAATCCATGGAAGTGGTCAGAGATCTGATTACATGGAAGAGGGTCAGAAAATCCATAGCTGAAGTCGGGAAGAGTCAACAGGATAAACAGCCGGAGCCAGTTGGCAGCAAACCGTCTAAATCTAAACTTCGCGACAGCACTGATCTCTTCATCAACGAGCTTCTTCCTCAGGCTGCTACGCACAGGTGACCTCAGCGAAAGTCCACGTGTTGGGTCATCAGGGACATTCAAACGGGTGGGGGAGTAACACCAACCAGGATAGGTGTCAAAAGCAATCTGGATGGCACAAGCACACTTCAAAGCTGGCTGAAGCTTCTTTGCTGAACTGCGACCCTTTGACAAGGCACCCTTCGCAACCAAGGAGTCGACAACAAAAGCCGGCATCCAGCTGAGATTCCAAATCCACAACCGACGCATCAGTTTCATACACGTTTATATGTGCATGTTTCTTCCAGTCCCAGACCTTTCCCAAAGTCCAGTGGGATGAATCCATAAGGTCATTCACAACAAGGCTTTCAAAACCATGAACAACAAGCGCATCATCTGTCGACTCCAAACGCAAAGCTTTTGCAAAGGTGCTAGCAAGGTGCTTTCGAAGTCCATCCATGTAGACGGCTATGGTGATGCCCCCCTTGACAGCGTGCCTCCAAGAAAACTGCATCAAGCAAATAGACCAAAAACCTGAACTCTTCCCGGTGCAAGCATCCAAACTGACATGACGCTATGATGGCTTCTTCAAAATCCAAGGCTAGCAAAGTCCGCCAGAAAGACAGCCACGCCATTTTGGAGAGCCTATGTTGTTCAAGTCCACATGGTCTACGCTTTCTCCTTCCAACTCGAAGCAGTGTAAACGACCTGAAAGCATGCAAGTTGCCATGAAAAGTCTTTTTATCCGTTCGATCATATCCCAAGGGCTCTTTGCAGGATCTGACCGACGGATGGGCAGCGGCAGAAAAGGACGTGCAAGGCGGTTCAACCAGAAAAGACCGAAAGCGGCCTTCTTCAATCACATGGATCGACCATTCAAGCAGCCTGAGATCCGACATGTCATAATGCCGAGAATTCGACAAATCCAAAACAGGTGCAACGCAGAATCCAAGCTCCGACATGTGGTGGCTGACAACCCCAGCTCTGCCATAGAACTCAACAAAGTCAAAGTAGAGCAGAGGTGACTTGAAAGGACCAACAGAGACAAAGTCTTCAGCAAGCTCAGTCTCAGGCACAAGCTCTTTCAGCAACAAGCGCACAGGCGAATCAAGCTTTGTGTAACTGCCTTTCTTGTCAGCATGCCTCCAAAAGTTTTTGGTCTCATGCCCTCCAACCTCAGTCCAAGTAAAAGCACCAGACCTACAAGAGGAGTCGGATGCATACAACCTCGAGTCATACCAAACAGACACATTTGTGAAGATCAGAGGCGAAACCGCCGCAAGCAAGCTCTTGGGCACATTTCCTCTGGAGAGGGACAATTTGGTTGTCACCCCCAGCAAGGTCAAGTTCACATGATGCCCCAAGAAGGAAGCTATCAGCCAAACTTGACCAACACGTCCTATACAGGAGAACAGACACCCAGTTTCCAGAGAGCCTTGCAGTCAACTTCTTCGTAAGTCCAGGGAGCCTTGCAGCAGCGACAGAGACAATGCCATTTCCTAAGGGCTCAGGACTAGATACAATCTCAGACCCTGCGGCTTTGAAGACCCTAGAAGACACAACATCCTTTTCAGGGGACCCCGGCAAACCATGTTTTTCGTATGCTTGTCTTGCTCTGGTCAAAGCAACTGCAGCAAAGGAGACTTCGGGCCTAGTTATAAGGGCTCAACACCTATCGCAAAATAGTCATCGATGATCAGACCCTCAAGCCGGCAACCATCTGGAACTGGATGACCTAACAAGCGACAGGCAGAATCCAAAAGCCCTTCATCAACAAGCAACTGCTCATGACTGGCAAAAGCAAACTCTACACCTATAAGTGGTCTCCTTGGAACAGGCTTTTGAATCCAGGAAACGCTGAACCAGGGTGGGAACCAATAAGGCAGCTTTTCAGCTTTTCAACCCAAAACGATCGCCATGGGAAACCCTATCTCTTTTCTCAGCGGCAGCCCTTTGTCTTGCGCAAAATTCTCCATGAGCATGGCTGCCCTCAAAAAGAGCCAAAGGGACATGGAATGGCAACAGATTCGTTTGGGCCCTCTCAACGCTGACCTCAGCTTGATGGTAAAAGTCGCGCCTATCCATAACCGACCCTAAAACGCAATGAGTGCCTCGGGGCACATGCATTTGGCACAGAAGGGGCCCTGGAGGCAAACTTGCTCGGTCCATCAAGCTGAAATTCCGAAGCATTTCGAAGCCTCCTGTCACCAATTTGGCGGTCGCACTCTGGAGTCTTATAAACTTGAAAAACCCTACAAACATAGCCAGGAGCGAGCGGCGCCCCAAACAAGGACAGCAAACCACGGCAATCCCAAAGTTTTGCAAGCTTTAGGTATTCAGTCTTGGATTCGTACTTGAAGCTAGGAACACATGCACCCTCCAAGGAAAGTCCATGACGCAGGAACGCAGGTTCTTGAAAAGGCAACCACAAGCAGTTCCGCAGATATCTTTCCATAGGCCATTTCCCTTCACCTGGCAAACGCAAGCGGCTGGCATCAAGGTCACGGTGGGGGACAAGCTGCGGGTATTGATCTGCAGGGAAAAGCCCATCATCCTGGCAAAAGGGGGTTTTCGGAACAGAAGAATAGGCATCAACGAAACCTGGGCACCCCTTGATGAACTTCTCAAGTTGCATAGTTCAAGACACTAATTCAGGACCAGATCTGCCAGGCACAAAAGGGAACCTACCTGGATCAGACCTACACACAGCCAAAGCCGACCTAATCCAAGCAAACACAGCTAGCTGGGATTCATTTGGCAGCCTGCCGATCTCGGCACAGGAAGGAAACCTACCCAAGTACAAGTAGTTGAGCACAAACGCAACAACATGCTCCACACGAGCACGGGCAAGCTTCTTCAGTCTTTTGGCCGAAAGTCCAGGGCCAGAGCACGCAGCAAACACCTCCAGAGATGGGCTGGGCAATGGAAAGGCTGTGGTTGTCAGAGATGCACCCTGTCGCTTGGCATGAAAGGAACGAAGCAAAGTCCAAGAGAATTGGGTCCTAGTGGCAAAAATCCAACGAGGCAGACAGAGACACCAGGACTGAAAATCAAGGCTGACACTGAAGAGATCATCCGGATCTGCTTTGAGATTGCCCGGGAGACCACGAACAGCTGGATTCATTGTCCCTCCTCCTGGTCCGCATCCTGCTGAGGAGTTTTGTCTTTGCTGGGAGCCTGACAACTCGCTTCTCTTCGTCTGGATGGCACCGAGCTCTTTTAGGTAGGCCAATGCCGTGGTTATCCACTTTTGATCTGCCAACGAGGCAAACGACCGAGATTGACTCAGGGCAGTTGTCTGCCTGTTGACAAAATGCTTGATGGCAAATTGTCCTCAAGGCACAGGACACTGGCCAGTTCGAACCTGCCCCCGTCGAGGGCTGCCTGTTCGATGGTGACACTGAGAAGCGCTGTGGCGTCCCGGGCGGCATTCCAGTTTTAAACTTGGTATACATCAACATGCCCAAATCCCGGTTTTTGTAATAACCGCCAAAACGCTCCAAATACTTTGTGCCACATACTCCATCATACTCCCTGGTCCATCAACAGTCGGTAATCCCCTTCTACAGGAACTGTGGGAGACATCCTGCGGGCCATGGCTTGCATCACACTTTGGAAGAAAAGGCCCTTTTGACTCGCAAACTCTGTCTGCAAACGAGCTCTCCCTGTCGATCCCCTGGTGCCAGTAAGTGAAAAGCCCCCCAAATCCATCATAGGGGTTGTTCGAAGCAGTTGACTGGGCTAGCACTGCCTGAGCAAGCATGTCGTTGGAAATCACCTCAGCAGATCCTGGCTTCTCCTGCTCCAATTCCAAAAGTTCCTGGGGTTTTGCCAACGCAGGGGATAGCAACATGACTTGTTCTGGGAGGGGTCTGGATCTGACTCACGACAGCGGATGGAGCCAAACGGGGCCCCGGCATGGCATAGCATTGGAAAGGGGTTGACTCAACGCATGGCAAGAAGCTGGGCCGGCAACAGTGTCCAAAAGCTTCTGACGCCCTGACAACTTCCGGATCTGACCTGACAGAGCCGGAAGAGATGACATCAGGTCCTGAATTGAATCCGAGAGCTGGGCTGTGGTGACCCTCTTTGCTTTCTGCTTTCCGTCTTCTGTAACTCCATCTCCTGGCTTTCGAGCTGTCTTTGCTTTTCTGGCTGGCATCCTGGGAACAGCTATTGGTGGGCCTCCTTCCGCAGGGTAGAATTCTAGACCTATAACCGTACTTCCGCAGACTGAATCCACTCTAAGACCTGAGGCAACAAGACACCAGGATCTGGCAGAGCAAACGGCTGATCGGGGTCGAAAGTGAAGGCTATGTCTTCGAAGGACTGAGGGAAACGAAGCAAATCCACTACATGGGACTGAAAATCCACCACAAGGCACTGCAACTCGAGGGATTCAGACAACCTCCATCCAAGACCACACCTGGAACCTCTACAGACGGGACGGCCCTAGAAAACCAGACTCCATGCCTTGGTTTGTTTGATCGGGCTGATCTTGAGGTAGGACACCATCGGGAACGGCTAGCAAAAGTCCGTCGTTCCGACGAAGCACAGCAAGAACTTTTACCTCCAGATGTCCATCCACTGCCTCTCCATCCGCCCATGTCAACATCTTGGTCCGGTAGCACCAAATTCTGCTAAAGTCAAAACACTTGGATCGCTTTCCACAGACATCCCTAGTCACGAAACACGTAGGGTTCAGAGAATCCAGCAGAGTCCAAGTAGACACGAGCTTCCCACTCGCTTGGGAATGAATGACTGATGGAATTGGCACCCCGGCCGGAGGTGAAAGAACCCAAGGCGGACCAGTAGCTGCCAGAAGACCGAAACACCACAGGACAATCCAGGCCCTCACACCGAAGGACCACGTAGAACCTGCAGCGCAAGTCCAAAGGCTCAGATCTATTGGGGGAAAGGCTGTTTGATCCAAGACAGCACGCGCCCGCTGGCCAGCTTGCCAAGCTCTGCGAATTCGGGACTGACCAGCAGAGACAGAACCACCCAGACGAGAAGCTCGCGACAACCAAGAAGCAGGACAAGTAGCAAAAGTCGAGGCGATCTGATCCCGAGATTCCAACACACGAGAACGACCAGAAGCAACAGAATCACCAGCTGAAGAGACCACTTCAAAAGAGTTCTCGGATTCAGCAACCGGGGGCCCAAGGCCAGCAGGGGATCCTGTAATGAGAGACAGGGCCTCTGAAGCACGCTCAGGAGATCCACGGACGGTGACCAGAAGGTGTCGCAGCCTAATAGTGAGCTCAACCACTTCGTCGTCGTGGCTGCGAGGCTGGGTGCTCATGCAAATACCGAGAAACCGAGGGACACCCGATTCAGCAGCAGGAAGAAGCCCACAGACAAGGGAACCAGGCCAAAAGTCCACACAGGCAAAATCCAACCAACAAGCCAAGAAGGAAAGCAGCCAACAGAGAGCCAAGACCTGGGCTGTTGCAGTGCGCAGGACAAAAAGGAACCGACACAAAGGAAGGATTCCATCCACCTAGCAATTGACCCTTGAGCGGCGACGGCATGTGAATCAGTGGAGTGCTTACATTCAATTATATATATATGATATTATATATATATATGTATATGTAAAT